ACGTCTTCATCCACAAGGAAACGTTTGGAGAAACTTCTTCGTCCACATGAAAACGTTTCTGGAAACGTTTTCATCCGCAAGAAAACGTTTCTGGAAACGTCTTTGTCCACACACAAAAAAAAGTTTCTTTGTTCACAAGAAAAACTTTCTAGAAATGTCTTTGTCCGAGAAAACGCTGCAGTAGCTTCGCCGGGCCTGGGTGTGGCGCGGTCACGCTGCTGCAGAAACAGGAAACACGAGGCTTCAAAGAGCGAGCGCAGGAGGAAAATCTAAATCCTTTTGGTGGACTGAACTTCCACTTCCTGTCTCATTAACTCACTGCGGACTGGGAGTCTTGTTGGCCCATGAAGTGGGTCATACTGGACGGTTTTCAGGCCCAGAACCCAACACAGGACAGTTGGGAGGGAAGAGCTTTACTCACAAAAATAGTTTTATAACTATTCAGTTTCTTACATTTTTTATGTTTATTTAAGGTAAATTTTGTTTTTGTGGCAACGTTGGCTTTAGTTTTTGTTGACAGTTTGATGAGGTCATAAAAACTTGTTTATAAATTTGGTGGAAGGTGTGACCCGTCACGTGGAGCCGAGGATGAAGTCACAAAGTTGTGAAATGAGAAACCAGAGGCAGAAAAACGTCCCACGACTGGATCTGATCAAAATAAAATTAATAGATTGGATCAAAATAAGATGGATTAATAGATTTGATCAACATAAGATGGATTAATACCTCATCAATGAGATCACTGAGTGAAAGGTTGTTTTGAAGCACTTTTCTGAGTAAACAACAACTAATCATGAGTTTGAGCAGTAAAATAAACAAGTTTTTCTACTTTCTTGAACTAATGAAGCTACTTTTACTTCTACTTTTACTTTTAATACTTTTAAAATCCTGAGATGTGACGTTTCCTCTTTGAAACGACGTGCAGGAATCCTCCTTTGAATTTTCTGTAAACAGGATTATTATTATTATTATTATTATTTATTTAACTCAGACCCGTTTTCCAAATCGGACTTTACTCTCAGCTCGCCCTGACGGGTCACGTGCACGGAGGTTTTCTCGAGGAGAACTTCAGGTTGGAGGCGTTTCGGTAAATTTGTCCCGTTTCAGCTCGTCGGTCGACGCGGGTCCACGACATCACCGTTTCCAGAAAGTTGTGTTTTGGCCGAGAACAGAACAGTTTTAAGTTTTAAGATTCAAGAACGCCGTTGTCGTGTGGACGAGGCCTCGGACCGACCGGTTCTGAAACACTTGAACGCATCCCTCGGACCGACCGGTTCTGAAACACTCGGACCGACCGGTTCTGAAACACTCGAACGCATCGGCTCCTCTGGTTTGTCGCCTTCTCCAAGAGTTTTTATTAAAATGTATCTGTGCTTTATTTTGAAAACTTTTCTTCGCCCACTCTTCTTACACCGTAAAAAGTCCCTTCAGGGTCTGGAAACACAGAAGAGGAAGATCTCGGACCAGAACCGGCCAGAGAACCTTCAAAACACGCAACAGTCCAGACGTGAAGCTCAGGGGGTTCTGCTGCAAGTAACACTGACGGGTCGAGCCCAGAGGTCCAGAAGGTGCGTCCACCAATACAGATACACAACACGTGCATTTCAAAATAAATGTCTGCCTTTCCAAAATAAGAGTCAGTCACTGCGCGATCAGGAAACAGAACCCGACACGGGACAGGCGGGTCCAAATGACCAAGAGTCCAACAGAAAACAAGAGAGCGGTCCAGAGAAGATCCAGAAACATGAGGACAGAACCCTGGACCGGGTGTTTCATCCTGCAGAACTTCTGAAGTCCGGATCAGGACCCGTGGACCAGGTGTTTAGTCGTGCAGAACTCCAGGAGTCCAGATCAGGACATGAAAACGGTCCCAGGTGGGCAGGAGGAGCAGAGCTTTGTTTGAAATGAAGGACCGGATCCGGTCAGTCCTGGTCAATGATCCGGAGCAAGATTTGATTTTAAAAACAGAACCGAGAGTCCGGTTGTGGAACTGGTCTGAGTTCAGACCGGAACTAACCAGAAAAGTTCTGAGTCGAGTCCAAAACCCAGATGAGTCCAGTTCCTCTGAGCCTGAATCCAACTGGTTTGCTTTATTTTGGTAAAGCCCAGTTGAAACCCGGGTACTGGTTCCGAGTTCAGCATTCATCTGAAGATGGTAAAATCCAGAACCAGGTCCTGGGCAGGTCTGGACCAGTTGGGTCTCTCTCTCCGGACCCTTAAAAGTCTGACCTGAATGTGTTTACTCAGGGTCCAGTTCTGGTTCGGTTCTGCTGTGCTGCTCTCAGGACTTGGCCACGAGCTGAGGCTGCTCCATGGACCCCTCCTCGTCCAGAAGACCCGTTTCCATGGCGATGACCAAGGACGCCACTGAGGAGCTGCTCGCCATCGGCTGCAGCTCACCTGGAAGGAGGAGGAGGAGGAGGAGGAGGAGGAGGAGGAGGAGGAGGAGGAGGAGGAGGAGATGATGATTAAGAAGAAAAAGAAACGTTTTAAACCTTCAGCTCAAAACAGCCGAACACCGTAATTTCCAGACTATAAGCTGCTACTTTTCTCACACGGTTTGAACACAAAGCTGCAGATAATTTATGAATTACAAAACATACATATATATATTTTATTTTGACAGGCTAACGAGCTTCCTGTCGCCAAACAACATTTTGCTCTGACACACCCGAGTGCTCCCACAGCTGCAGGGTGGACACCTCAGGTAGAAGTACCTGCCTCACTCATGGTTACTGTACACTGCTGAACGACCAGCACCTGACGAGCGCACGACGAACACGTGACGAACACGTGACGAACACGTGAAGAACATGTGAAGAACACGTGACAAACACATGAGAAAACATGATAAACGTGACGACCACATGAAAAACACATGAAAAACACATGACAAACACATGACGAACACATGACGAACACGCGACTAACATATGACGAACACGTAATGAACACACACACTATGTAGCCAAAAAGAACAGACTAATCACTAATAGAACAATGCTAACCAGCTAACCCAAATGATTAACATAAATTTTACCCATAATCCCTCTCTCAGGCCATGTGACCAGTAGTCAACCTCAATGAACCAATGAGGTTGTTTCATTGAGTCACAAGGACCCCCCCCCCCCCC